GTATAGTATACCTGCTGAAGGCAACACAGAAATGTTGGGAGGCTGCCTGTGGACTGAAGCAGCTGAGCTGAACGCCTGCCTCTCAGTCAGCACTGACCTCTGACAGCCCCTTGGAAATATAAAGTTGATTAACTCTGCCTTCCATGATTCCTCAATGGAAAGTTACATTTTTATTAATAATAATCTACATTCCTGTAAAAAAAAAATTGCTGTTGGCAAATCTCAATGTCCATTCTTTCATATCTCATAGTTTAGGTCTAGAAAAACAAATCAAGTGACAAGGTGAAAAAAAAAAAAGCTGAAATAAATTGTGTAAATTTCTGAATTAAACTTTCATTCTTAATTTGCAGCTTTACTGTTCTTAACAGGAAAGCTCATCAGTGCTGGAGTCACTGGGTTTACAACAGAGATGAGTGGAAAATCGATGCAGTGTGCATTACTTAAAAACTGCCTCGCTTGTTTTGCTTTTTAGACTTTCTGGACATAAACTGAGGATGTAAAAGTTCCCTAGTTAAACCACAGAAATGTCCATGTGAGCCCATTGTTCAGAGGAGTGTCAATAGGAGTCTGTGCTGACTAAAGGAAAGATGAACCCCAGGCACCACACATTCTGCAGATGAAGTTGATACTTATTGATGCCTTGTATTAAGACGGTAATCCCTGGGATGCTAAAAGGATATGAGGCATACTCAAATATGGCAAGTGGGACAGAATGCTTTATAAAATAGGTTTTGTAAAACATGACTCTGATAGTAAAGCAGTTTTGAATAGGCTGTGAATGAAGACTGGCACGGAGAAATTTGATTTTAAAGTGAGGAGTTGAAACCAACAAATTGAGGAAATTAAATTAGCACCAAGTTACTGGGTTGGACCTGCAAAATCTTTAATATTACAATGTATTCCTGTGGGCAGCACGGTGGCGCAACTGGTAGAGCTGCTGTCTCTCAGCGAGCAGGTCCCTGGTTCAAACCCCGGTCCAGGGGCCTTTTTGGGTGGAGTTTGCATGTTCTCTCTGTGCATGCGTGGGTTTTCTCCGAGTACTCCGGTTTCCTCCCACAGACCAAAAACATGCATGTTAGGCTGATTGGTAACTCTAAATTGTCCCTAGGTGTGAGTGAGAGAGTGAATGGTTGTTTGTCTCGTTTGTCTCTATGTGTCCCTGTGATGGACTTGCGACCCGTCCAGGGTGTACCCTGCCCCTCGCACAGTGATTGCTGGACATGGGCACCAGCGACCCCCGTGACCCAAAATGGAATAAGCGGGTAAAGATAATGGATGGATGTATTCCTGTTGTTTCCGACTGGCTCGCTACATATTACAGCAGGATGACACTGCATGTACTTAAAACCTCGAGTTTGATTAAACACTTGAGAAACCAACATGTTCAAGGGAAAAAAAATACAGCTCATTTTAAAGCTCAAAAAAGAAAAACAATAAAAAATATCTGGCATTTTACATTTGAACAAAGCACTGAATTTCTGTTTTTATAACATAACAAAGAAGGGGACCAGATATCAGGACGTGTTACAAATTATCAAGGTTTTACCAAATTATATATATATATATATATATATATATATATATATATATATATATAT